AGCAGGTTGCGTCTGCGTTGCTGTCTCTGCTGCGTGTTTTGACTTGGGTGGTGGTGATTGTGATGCGGAGTACTTCTCAGCAACGGCAGGCTTCGCAACCGCGTTCTCCTTGATGACGAGAGAGCGTGTCTTGGGCTGAGCCTTCGATCTCGAAGCAATCTCGATAGCAATACGTGCCTTCTTCTTGACGATTGAATGCTCCTCTTCGTGACCTGCTGTTGATTCGTCGCGTGGACGCTTTTTGCGACCGATGTTCGCTGGGCTGTTATGGTTGCCTTGAGGGTTCGTGATTACAACGTTGTTTCTCGTGCTGGATCGTGTCGAGAGGCCTTCACTTCTTCTGGAAGACCGGGTGAAAGGAGACGCCATTGACCTTGATGTGCGCGTAGGTCATAATGCAGTGTTTGGCGCTCGCAGATTGTGATTTGAATTGATGAGATCACGGATGGCTTGCTGGGGAGTCTTTTGGGTAGTGAGGAAGGCACTTAGCGACCCAGGATCGCAGGCATTGACTGATTTAAATTCACGAGGAGACCAAATTTTCTTTCATTTAATGCGAGATATCAGAGCATCAGAGGTGAATATCAGATATCTGAATTATCCTGTGTATTAAAATGGTGAAACGAAAGAAAACAATTGAGTGTGCAATCAATAAGGTCACGATGGAGGGAATGTTTTACCTAGGCATGACATTGTCCCACCAAGGCTACCTGCATTGAGACATCCCGAGATCGACTCCTCTCTTGAAAATACAAACAGAAGTACCTCTTGAGGGTGCGATATGTGGCAGATGAAAGTCCCATATTGCCTGGGGCATTCCTCCATTTTGGGGTCGAAATCCTCGGTGCAGTGTTTGCTCACAAATCGCGACGCCCGAAACATACTGAAAGTCACATGCCTGATATGATAGCAGCACTGCTTATCAACAGGGCGCAGGACCGAATAACGTTTCCCAAAAATTGACAAGGCCGTTTCAAAGCAAATTGTCGAGCCAGATTTCATTTCCAAGCTTCAATTGCTATCATACTCTTCAATATCAAGAGGTTGCGGTCTATCAATCAGTCCACCATCGCAACCACGTTTACGCCAAATATCTCTCAGGAACCAGCTGATTATATATACAATTGGGTATCTACTCATATCTAACATTATCATTCATCAAGCATTAAGCATTTCTCGTACCCTCCGGCGCAATGGCTTCTTCCGGTCCAGTGCCAGGAGCTTGCACAAGATGGTCCTTCTCCTGTTCCCTCTTCTCTTCCATCTCTGCCCTATCATTCGCAACACCATGACGCGGAGTCCGTGGCACAATCGATAATTTCTTCAAAAGCTTCAAGTCCGCTCTATTCTCTTCCCGTTCTTCAGCCTCTGCTTGCTGCTTTGCTTCAAGGAATCGTCGTTCTCGTTCTGCACTCTCGCTTTTATCTCGAGCTTCTTCCTCTCGTTTAGCGGCCTCTTGAGGAGACAATAGTTTGTCCTTCTTGTGGACAAGATTTTGCAGGATTCTCTTTCCTCGTTTTCGAGTCTTGACGTACGCTTCTAGGCCAACCAGTACGGCGTATGAGCGTGATATTGAGACGTGGCTCATGTCGACACCGGCATCTTTCAATGAATGGATGAAAGCTCTGAAGTTCGAGACTAGCAAGATGTTAGTACTTTGGAAGATGTCGGTTATTCAAAGTGCTTACCTGGTGGTCGATAATGTCCCGAGAGAGGAGAGAGCTTTGAAAGTCTCCCATTCTTGATCTTGATCAATCCCGCAGCCGATATGCGGGAGCCGTGCAAAAAAGATGAATGCTGAAAGGCACCGGATTGCTTGATACCAACGTACAACCGGAAGCTCGTATCCGCGACGAAGATCCAAGTGTTCTTTTTAACTGATCCTCGAAGTAGCTTGTTGAAGATGGTCGCAGCGGAAACATGCTTTACCTTCTTCACTCCTCTTGCGTTGTCCAGTTCAGGGGTCGCATACTTGTTGGCACGCGAATCTGTATCATCCTCAGTCTCGGAATCAGAGTCGCTTTCGCTTGAAGTAGCATGGTGGTGGTGGTCTTGCAGTCCTGTTGCTGCTTCTCCTCCTACTGGTCTAAACGACGGTTCGTCACTGTCTGCGGGTACGATGCCATGTATCGAGTCCTTATAATTCTCGGTCGTATCGATTCGAGCACCATTCTTTGCCCAGCATAATCTGCCCTCTTTGTCGATCTTGACCAAGTAGTCCAAACGCTCTTCTTTAGACAAGTACCGAACCTGCTCTCGATCTAAGCGTTCTCGGGGACAGCCCTGGCAGTCGATGAATCGGCCCTCGCCATAATCGAGCCCTGTTAATCAAGATCTCGTAGTCAGCTACCTTCTTTTGTGTATTTCGAGAGCAAATATGTATGTCTTGAGAGTGCGTCTGGGGCACATCTGGAGTGCATATGGAGCAATGCACTCCTAAGACACCACGATAGAGGGAATAATCCTCCGAGAAATTGACACTTACAGTAGAAGAAGTTCTCAGTGGTATCTGACTTCTTCCATTCTTCATGGTACGTCCTGAGATTGCTCCCATAACGATGCTTCAAATCCACCATTTCCAGGAAGTATTGGAGGTCCATGATTTTGGCAGCTTTTTGCCGCTCAGCTTTGGCTTCCAGCTTTTGCTTTCGAATCCGTTCGCGTTCCTCTGCCGGAGTTTCGTCGTAGTCGTCGCCGCCACTCTCAGAGTCCGAATCTTCATCACCTCCCGCCCTCCTTGTTATCAACCCAATCTTCTTCCAATTCTGCCTCGCGGCACTATGCGGATTCGTCGAACTCGAAGTACCAATCGTCTGAAATGTATCCATGCTCTTCCTCGGCGCGCCATCCACACTATTCCTCGCTCTCGGCGTCGTAAGGTCCCTATAACGTGCCTCCTTCACTGCCTCTACCCATCGCGTACTCGGATCCAAACTCATCCCATTCATTATCCTCCTCTCTCTATGCCCTCTATAATTCCTCTGTATTATCCCTGCCGCCCGCTCCCTCTCCGATTCATTCAAATCCGCATGACTCTCTCCCAGCCTCTTCTTAATAATCTCCCTCTCCTTCCTCTCCTGTACCTCCCCAATCCGCTCAACCATTTCCCGCGACGGAGTCTCCAGACTGTCAATATATTCCTGATGACTTCTCGTAGATGCTTTCGTCGAAATCGAGACCTTCGAATCGCGTTTCTTGTGTTTGTGTATACTATGCGAAAATGAGGAGTTGTGCGGTGGTGAGTTGGTGACGGCCAGAGTTGATGTCTGGTTTTGAGATATCGCGGGGCAGGTCGAAGATAGCGCCATTTTTCAAGGGCTTGCCAAGATTCCCTGGCTACGAGGTCTTGGCGGAGAAGTGCGAGCTGCGAGTCGCGGATCGTTGCGTTGCGCTGTGGCGCAGGCCTCTAAAGTGACTTTCGAGTCGTCTCTATTCAAGAGAAGAACAAAGAGAAATCGGCTCTCTAAGGAGTAAAGTAATAGTAGGAAAAGTATTCACCAAAAGAGGTTGTGAAGTGGTAGGACATTGGGAACTGCGTGAATGTGTAACCTGATGTGAACTTTCGAAGACGTGGTTTTGGTTCGTTCTTGCTGACTTCCAGGAAGTCCGAGGTTCCTGCCTGCTTTCGAAAACTTGCGCAAGTAAATTGTGGCTGAAGAGGTTCATGCACGACCACACGAAGCAAGTTGCAGGTACGATTCGTTCCAATACCCTTACATCTGTTCAACAGGGGAAATGGTCCAGTACTTGTAAACTACAATACCACAAGGGATCAACCTCTAATTGTCAAGATTCTCACAAGGCTGAAAAATTCCTTGTTTAGAACACGCGTATTATGAGAGTTGAGTGACAACCGTCACCTGCACACGTCATTCTGGGCCGCAAGCCGTCTTTGCTTCGGGGTCGTGGGTAGATGCCGCTGCCCGACTTGGTGATGGGTCGTGGGCTAACAGCCTTCAACGTCTCGCTTTTTGGTGGTGATGGAACCATCTGAGCTTCTTTGGTGGACATGCCGAGAATACCGAAAGATTCCGAGAAGCTTATTTTAACGGGATGTCCGAGTTGATACTTTCATTTGTTCAAAAAGTCGTGATGCCCAGCCTTGAAAGTTGTCTTGCATTGACAAGTTGAGTTGTCAAGACGGAAAGTCGGATAGAGGGCAAATACTCGTGGTAGTTTTTAAGAATTCGACCGAGCACTGCATGGCCAGCACATCAAAAATCACTTTTCTTTGTTGGCAGTTATCTTGCTCTCCTCGTTTTGTCGTATTCGTCACCGTATTTATTATTGTACTCTTTTCGCGGTGTGCGAAGAGAGCGACTCACCAAAGTTCCAGAAAGCCAAGGACATTCATTAGGACCTAGATTCATGAACTTGGTCGATCAAGGAGTCTAGTTGAATGATCCTTTCTTGGACAATGAGAGTATCTCTGAGATACGGACACGAACGAGCTTTTGCCAAGTCCAGTTAATGCTCCTCGCACTCTCTTAAGGAAACAGCTCCCCATAGTCCTCGCTCCTGACACCGAGGAGCGTTCCCAATCACCCAGCTTCAGCGTTCTCAATGGATAGACAGTTGCAATTTCGAGAGTAAACCCAAACTGCCCTGAAGTAGTCCGGTTCTTGGTAGGGCAAGACCTGATATAGCCCAGTGCGGATAGTTTTCACAGTTTTAAGGCAGTTTTGGTTTAAAACTGCCTGAACATCAAGAACCAAACTGCACTAGGCTATGCCAGGTTTCCCAAAACTCAGAGCTATCCTGGGTTAGTATGGACAGTTATACCAGTTCGCGCCAAGACTGTCTACCCATTGAGAACGCTGCCCAGCTTCACCTGGACTTTCACTCTCTATACCTCTCTTGAACTTCCATCGTCCACAATCGCCAATCCAGACTCGAACGCAGCCTCCAAGCCGCCTATGATCTCCTTTCTAACTCACTTGGACCACCGGTTTCATTGGAAAGGCTAATATAAGATTAAATAGTACCAAACACTACCACATACGACCATAGAAGACGAAAAATTGGGCATCCCGTCCGCTCTGCCATACACAAATCGTCTATCGGTAGTTCAGTAGTTGAGTGGGTGACCATCAGCGAATCCCTACTGTTGTATGTTTTTTGATTTATTTTTGCTGAATCTTTCGCTTGGTTGGTGACGAGTGGGGAAGACAGAGGCAGGTCAGTGGAGGAGCTCAGGGGGCTCATGAGTAGATAAAAAGGTATGAAAACACTCGTGAACTGGACTTTGAATTGCAAAAGACACACAGAGCAGATCACTTGGAAATCCAAACGAGAAGTAGACAGGAAGGTGAGGAACACAAGTACATCAAATTCAAAACTGGCACCTAAAAAGCGAGCATCACCAACTTCATGACAAACACTGAGAATACAAAATGATGTCAACATTTCGAACATCTACGACGCTATGCGAACGCCGAACCTATGCTTGCTGATGCTTTTCCTCTTTCCCAATCGTCCCTCGAAGATCGAACAGGACGGTCTATTAATCCGCTATGCAGATGCAAATGCAGACCCAAAATGCATTACAAATAATATCAAAATCCACCACGCTCATAATCATCGTTATGTGAGGTTGAAAATCACTCCAACTCTGAATCTCCCCTTCTCCGCTTAATCAGCTCTTCGCTTCCCGTTGCTGAGGCCGTTGGTAGACTTGCTAGCTCCGTTAGCTGCAGCGGCTTTCTCTTTGTTGGCGATTTGCTTCTCGTAAGGAATGGTTAGGCAGTTGATGCCTAGGTAAGAGCAGATGCTGTCGATGACTAGGAATGCCCATCTGAAATAGACGATCAGGGCGAAGACGAGGTATCCGCGGAGGTACCATAATTCTAGCAAGGGGCTGATTGCTGGAAGTCCAAATCTAGGCAGATTTCCCAGTACTGCTCCACCCACCAAGGGTGAAAGCATGACGGTCCAGTATGGGAATGGTTGTCTGGTCAGATGAGCTAGGATGATCTTGGTTGTCATTCTGCCGAACACGAAGGACATCGTGAGACAGAAGAGAACGAGATGATTCTCAGCCATCAATGTCGAGTACGGGGAGAACAACCAGGCGCCGATGGAGAAGGTGTACACCGCCATTGGTGTCCATTCCAAAAAGACTGGGAGAACTGGCAGGTTATCCCTTCTCCGCGCCTTGACAACATTGATGACACAGAATGGAACGTGTGCTCCAAACAACGAGATCAAGAGGATTGGCACCCAAAGGTCTCGAACGGAGTATGTCCCAAAGAATTCGTGGAATCCAAAAAAGTAGTGGTGCCCAACTAAATCGGTGATCTTGTGAGTCCAGATCTCTGGGCCGTAGTATCCTGAAAGGATCATAATCGTGCACGCCAAAATCAATCCTTCAGTAGGGCCGTTGAAGACACCCAGGTATAACGTGTGGGTATGGTAGGTTTCCCAGGTCGAGAAGAACATTGGAAGGCAGGGAATCAAGGCCGTGAAGACGCCGGTCTTAGATGTACCCAAGCCCATTGCCGCTGTCTCGCAGAGACTTGCCAGAGTGCAGTTCAGCGAATCGATACCATGGTCGAATAATTCTCCCAGCCCACTCGATGTGCCAGTCCTTCGTGCTTGCTTTCCATCCACATTGTCCATCGTCGAATACATCCAGAGTCCGAAAGCGAAACTATAGTATAGCCAGGAGGGCCCCTGATCCAAGAGAATCAGCATGTGAGTCACATAAGGGCACTTGCGGATAACATACTGGTCCCACCAGGTCTGGCATAAATATCACAAGGCATACCACGTTCGACAAGATGAAGAAGAATCCCAGCAATGTGACCATATTCGGTGCCAGCCATAATGGTAGAAGCTCCACGAAGGCATTCCACTATACAGGTCTTAGCGTATTTCTTCCAGAGGTTATATATAGGAATCGCGCACGTAATGCTTCAGGATATAATTCGAGATGAAGGACTTGTCGACGCTCGAATATTTATACGACTTGAGGTGTACCAGAGCATCTTCCGAGACGCACTCGTGCGCAGCGACCTCTGCACGCGAACCATCAGCTTGTATTCCCATAATCTGACAGTTGGTGCTTACTCTTGCTTGGAGCCATCGATGTTTTTGGTGTGGTAACGGGAGGAGGTAAAACTTGCGGCTCCTTCTTGACCGCAAGCAAATCTAGAGGCCGAATCGCGGAAGAGGTATAGTCGGTGAGCGCCCCGACTTCAGCGAAGTTTTCAAGTTTTCAAAATTGAAGACGAAGAGGCAATGGTCATCGAGACATTGTTCCAGTTGAAAAGGGAGAGACCGAGGCGGATGCGCGGGCTAAAATTATCGTTGAGATTGGCTCCTGCTTTCTGGACCTTGTATTTCCAGGTTCCTCGTCATCGACTGCGGACAGAGTGCTTGGCCCTTTCGCACGTGAAGACAGCAACTCTTCTTTATGGACCAACTTTCCCTTTGTGACTGCAACAAGCACAATTCGAAACAGTCGTTTGAGATTATCACAATGGATGGTCGAATGCCAAATATTTGATGGGTCAAACTACCGAAGCTTTCTCGAGCACCGGCAAGGCATTTGAATCACATTCTCATCATCGAACATTGCACAACAGCCTCGGATCAATATTTCATTGCCGCACTCCAGTGGAGCTATCACAAACTCAAGACATATGCGATCATGAGACACATCTGCTTGTTTTCTTCCGGTACCCTTCTGATTCATGCTCCTTTCTTTTTCATCGACAATCTCGTATCCAATCCCGATTTCCAGTCATTCTCCACCCCCATGAGCCACTACATTACCAATATTAAGGTAGCCGTTGGTTGTGCGGCCTAAGTATTCAAACCAATATATGCAGAGAATCGCTGAAAATGCTGTACAGAACTCTTTTAATCATCGCTAAAAACAAAGTCTCACCGTGCGTGCGAGACGTGTGACCGAGACATGCAAACAGAACACCAGTGCACAACGCCCAGTGCTGTCTTACACGACCAAAGCAAAACCGGCGAAGAGGCCAGCGAACACGACAGCCAAACCGTAACTGCGTCCGAGATCGATGGCAGCCTGGGCACCACTCTTGGTGGAGGAAGAAGCTGTAGTTGTAGCAGCAGCACCTCCACCCAGACCGGTGTAGACAACACCAGCTGTTCCGGATGTAGCACCGGCAGGGACTGTGGTTGCGGTTTGAGTCGCAGATGTGGTGGTGATGTTCACTCGTGTAGGGTTCTGAGCACCGCAAGGGTGCTGGCTTCTGCAGTCACTCTGGCATTGAGTGTTGCCTCCACATCCAGCAACACATTGGATGCCATACTCCGTGCAGATGAAGTATGGGAGGGTTTGCGAGTATTCGGAGGCATTGGGTTGCTGTCCGTTTTCGCAGACACAGTCGTAGGTCAAAGTGGTCTACTTCAGGTTAACATCTGTACCATAGCCTCTACTGGCAAAATTATATGCTTACTGGGTCGCAATCGTTGGCATCAGTGGTCGTCGATGTTACTCCTGGCAATTGAAGGCAGAGCAACGGGCAGGATGTCATTTGGGTTTGGCACCACGAAGCTACCAAAACGTCAGCACAATCCAAATATTGTTATTGGAGTTCTCGTACTTCGGTCTGACAAGGATACACTGTTCGGGTCGATATAGTAAACGGCTTGGGAGTGGGCCTTGAGGGAGAACAGGAGAGTGGCAGCAGCAACCACTGAGGCTCTGAGTGAAACCATTTTGTATGATGTCGGTCGGCACGAGGTAACGATAGCGAATGTCGAGCTTGAAGGAATACCTGCAGGCCACTGTCAGTTACATGGACCTTAGGCAAGCATTCAAGCTTGAAATGAATCAATTGGAAGACCCGGATGAAAGCTCCGGATCGAGGAGAGCTGGAGTCATTTTGGTGTGTCTGGCCTCTCCTTACCTTTCAAAGCAGCAAGTGAGAACGAGCGGGCGGAATCTCAACGAGAGGAGGTGAATATTAAAGATATATATTCTCACGCAACGATCAAAGCAAATGTCGGGGTCAGCAGAGGACAAGAAGAGGAGAAAGACTCTTGAGGAGAAGAAAAGGTCTTATGAGAATCCCAACCCCCAGTCCCGACCACCCCAAGTCAACAACTGTCTCTCGATCAAGATATTGGGCTTTGCGCTAGTGACTTTACCAGCGATGCACGAGCAGCCGAAGTAACGGAAGGCGGTTAGGATGTCTTTGAATCAGCCAACCGGAGGTTTGAGCGTAATAGAACCCTAGTGATATTCGGCAGTAGTGGGAAAGGGGTCTTGGCTCTCACGACTTTCCGTGGTCCATGATTAGAACGCCTCACATGAGGTCTGCTTCGTATCGATGGCAAAAGCCTGAACTATGCATCCGTGGCCGGATCCAGAATCTTTTCATGTGAATTTCTTGCCACCTCGAATATGCAAACCGACAGAAAAAGCGATAGGAAGAGGTGGACAAACGAAGGGCTCGATCATCCAAATCAGCATGGCTAGGCGAGATTTGAGCGCGGCTCCCCATTTCACCAACCTGGCTCTAAAATCTAAATCAGAGTAGACTTAAAGTCTTAAACGGACATCAAAGCCCTTCTGGGGTGCGAATGATCTCCACATTGTGGCACTTTGGCAATATGGCCCAAGCTTCGAGACTTCTCTGGCGAACAAAGGTCGTCCACGAATCGAAATAAAGAAATGTTTTACTCCAAACGGAACCAATTGAAAATCAGTTCTCAACTCCTGTCCGTTCAACGATCTTCACTGGTTGTGGCAGGTCAATCGTATAATACTCGAGTCTCGAATCTACTTGTCACACAAGCGCAGACACGAGATAAACTAGTCTTGTTCGGTTGTTAGCCGCATACTCGCGAAAGCCTCTCCTCAATATCAAACACTTCGCTCTAGGACCAGCCTCGTAGTATTCAGGCGCGCGAGCGTCCCGCAAATGGATGGACTCGATGGAGTCCGCAAATGGTGAGGCTGAAGCCGCGCTGGCAAGCAAGTATCGACTAAACACAACGCCACCCGCACACCAGCAGAACGGCGGCAATGCGAACGATTCACCTATAACCTCACCGATCACTTCCCCGCCGTACTGGGTTCAATCGCATCAGAGATCGTTCTCGAACATATCTGTTGAATCGATTGCCGCTGGAGCT